AATTTTGGTATTTTGATGAGTGATGAACTGGTGTACCTGCTGCTCCGCATAATCAATGTTAGTTGCAGTGTGGAAGTGTTTGTGTGTCTAGTGGTAAAACACCAGACATAGTATTTGTTTGATGATACGCAATAGCTTCTAGAGACATAAGAACTCTGAGAAAATGGAAAAGATACATTATAATAATATTTATAAACATTTGCAAATACAGTTAAAGACAATTTATAAAAATCGGAACTTCGAAAGAGTTTAATCGATTCTAACGCCCACTTTTTGATTTTGAAGTATAGAAAAGACACTACATATATTCAAAAGCTAATACTTATTTCTCCATAAAAATGATTCTTTTAATTTTTAATTTCACTCTTATCTTAAACAAACATAAACTCCGGGCTACCGTTGTTTTCAAAACACTTTTTGCTTATCATTTTCAAATTCATTAAATTATATTTAAACTTCCAGCGATTATTGTATTAAATAGCTTCGGACCCGCATATTACGAGTACGTCAGCTCAATGGCTCCTCGAAATTGTAGCAACGCAAACAATCGCCTCAGCAACAGCAGCAGCAATAATTGCCTTCTGCATAGCCACAGCCGCAGAAATTTTTGAAATTTCATCAAAAAGACATAAAGTTAAAATTTTATGCCTATTATCTTGGCTGGGCATGGCTTGCACCCAGCAGCTTTGGGTTAAAACCGTAAGTGTAGATAACCGAGGAAGGCCTAAAAAATGCCAAGCAGCAAAAATACACAAACGGACGATCACGAAATTAGGGTTTAATTAAGAGTTAACCGCGTGTGTGGCTACGCTGTCCAGTCCAACATTTTTATTGAGTGTAGTTAGGTTTGACTAAAATTATTTTAAAATTATTTGTTGAACGAAAAAAAAACCAAGAAATATAGCAAATCCTGACGATCTGTTCATACCCACTGATACTATTTATAGATATAAATAGGTATGTAATTAGATAGATTTAGTAAAGCATGGCGTTTTTGTTTACTTAGAAATATTGATCTATCAATTCCAAATCATTTCTCAATTCTGTGTAGTTACAATATAGTATCGTAAGGGAAAATAAAGGTTCGATATTGCTTTCAAGCATGTTATAGTATGTGAGACTTGTCTGTCAGTAAATTATCTGTTATATTGGAGATGTCGGGTGTGTTATTATCTAGTACAGCACAGGTTGTTTATGTTGTTATTATTCATTTATTGAAAAAAGATATGCGATGTATACATCTTTATCGAAAATTATAATATACTAGATATGTATAATAATCTGGGATAATAGTCAGCAACTGATGAATAACAATCTAAGACAATACTTGTAACTTATTGAAGTCTTTGTGATGCAAATAAGATGAAGCACAACTAGGATAATAACATTGGTTTTGTTGTTATTCCAATTTCGTATGTTGCAATGTCTTAGGCATGAAAGTAAAGTTAGGTAGGATTGACAATATTTTCCATTAAAATTATATAACACTTGAAAACGCCCTTATCGTCAAGAAAACAACTGCAAAGCTCTTCAGCAATTTTACTAAATAATATTTCCATCCCATCGTACCTGGGCCCTCCCTAGTCAGACTACTAACTTGGGGGTAAGTACATTAAAGCTAAAAAACTATAAATGAAGCTTCAATCCTCTGAGTTACATTGGTATTATCTATACTAATAATAATCATTGGTGCCTCATGGTACATATAAATTTACCTAACAAGTGCTGAGTTTGATAACATTAGAAAAAAACACAATATGTTAATAAGCTTACAGAATATGTTAATCTTCTCCTTGGCGAATAGAAGAGCATTATATTTTTTTAACAACTTCATATATACCGATGTGGTATATATTGCACTGAGGATATATTACAATGAGGACCGCAATAAGTAAGATTTAGGTTAGGTGAAGTGGAGGAAGGAACGAGGAATAGTGGGTTGGAGAATGGTCACGTTTGAACTAGGCGAAGCATTGATAAACACGAGAATCTGGTCAACGCTAATACTGGATATATCGCTGGAATACTGAATGTGTTGACGAATAAGCACTCAATAGCTTAAGCCTGGTTCTAGACAAGCTTAGATATAAACATAATAGGTGTTCTGATGTCTTTTCTATGAGCATCGGCAGACATGCACTATAGGATTGGCCAAGATTGGCAGTAAGATTTCTTGTGTTATTTTATATTATTAGATTGGTCTTTTAAAGCCTGGTGCATCTTGAATCAACCTTGGTACTGGAGTTCTGTTAGCTCAACTTCTCACCACACATTACATAAATAGTGCTTCGCTTGTTTAGGGAAAATTTTGAGCTTTTCGATAGTAAAAAGTAATATCTATCAAATAATTTGCCTTCGACTTTGCATATATGGTAGGTATGATAAAGCGCTAACCAGAAACTGGTGTCCAGAATTAAATTTAATTTTTCAATAATTTTTGTAAGTCTGAATGTATAAAAAAATATAGTATTTGGAAAAAATGGAATTCACTAATAAGAAGTGAACTGAAAAAAACTGAACAACTATATATATATATATGTATGTATGCAGTATAGAGTATACAGTATATAGAGATAAAATGGGAAGTAATCTCTTTTAATGCAACGAATCTATTAAGAATGGAAACTGCAGTAGAGAAAACAATCCAACTAATCCAACTAGGTTAATATACAGCTGTAGTATTATATATAAAGCGAATTTAGGAAGTATTACCTTCAGTATAGCTCATTTCAGATTTTGAGACAGCCACTGACAGCACAGTCGCTCATTAGCAATATGTGACACAGTCCAAAACTCCGAAAAAGTCCAAAGCAAACAATTTATTCATGTACCGACACCAAAGCTGAACCAAAAGTGGGCAACATATTGTCACAGCCACGCGCCTAACTCTTGCGAGTTCAGCTTCACTTGAGACCTGCAAGTCGAAAAATAAACAAAGGCAAATTTCGTACTCAAGTTGTGAATAATAAAAGAATAAAAACTAAATGAAAAGAAAAAATAATAATCGCATGCAAAAAAAGAAAAAAAAAAAATATATATATATATGCCTGCCGCACATGCAGGCATCGGGGGGACATCCTTCATTTTAAAGTCAAGTTGGTCGGTCAGTCAGCGGCGTGAATGTTGCAAAGTGCATTGGCATCAACATGTTTCGTGTTGTTAGCTTTGTTGCTGACTGTCGCAGTTGCAATATGCAATACACTACGAAGTGAAAGATGTTTTTAAGCAAATTTATTGTTGTTGGTTTGTTAAAATTTTTTGAATGTTTATGGCTTTGTGGAATATTCTCCTCTCCCCTGTCTGTCTCCCTGTCTCCCTGTCTCCCTGTTTCCCTGTCTCTGTCATTTTTATATGGTGAACATTTTTGAACAGCTCCAACCATTTTTAGCACGTCTGCAATATTAAAATTTTTTGTTGTTATTGTGCGTGTTGCTATTGCATGCAGCAGGTTTCAGAGGAGAGACAACACTTTGTTGTTGTAGTGGAGTTGTTATTTATATGTTGCGTACATGACCCCAATTTCTGTTGAATTAACTCTGTATGCTGAGATGCAACCGGCGCCCTTGTGCAAACCCGACTCACGCTCCTTTTTTTGGATTTTTTTCTCATTTGTCGTTCCCTTGCGGCTGTTATTGACTCCACTTTTTGTTTGTTGTCCATCACTGATGGGGATGATGTATTCATGTGATGTGCTTTCCTTTTTCGAAGGCTCAGCATAACCTAAACCCATTGTAGTCGCCAGATTGGCACATCTGTTTTCATTTGAGTCTTTCTTCATTGATATTTGGTTTTTTTTATTAGTGTGGCCAAGTTACAGGTGCTTTTCCACTTTTGGGTAAAAGTTGACTGTTTGTTGTTGTTATTAAGTTGATCCTGCTGCTGTTTGTTTTTGTTCCACAGCCTGAAGCTTTTTTGCGTGCCAGTCAATAAAATATTTCCATTGTTTATCGCGCGAAGAGTATATCAGTTTGGGTTTTTTGAATACCCTCATCCAATGTACCAGAAAGTTTAGCTGAAATTAAAATTTAAGAAAGGTGTTTACATTTAATTTGACAGGATGTAGTAAATGCTTTTTAATTTTGTTTAAGGACAGGTTTCGACTCAATACTAAAAGAGTTGATGGATTCATATTATTATTTGTTGAAATAAGCAGTTTAGGAAGTAAATTAACATTTTTCTAAACTATGGAAAAGAGCCGTTGTTTGTCTTATTCCAAAATCTGGCAAGCCCAAATTGGTCCTATGTAGTTCTCACTAGGTTTCTCTTTTAAACTCTGTAGGCAGGTTTGATCGACTCCTTAGCGGAAACGTCTGCATCACCCAGTAAGATCTAAGATAAGATCAGATGCCTACGTGACTAAACCAATCGAGCCAAAATAGGAATCCTGTCACTCTTCTAGGCAGCACGGACTAATCATTCCTTCACTGCTTCGAGTATTTCCTAGAATAAGGAATTTATTTAATTCCAGAGTAGGATTGGATAATAGCTCGACGGTAGTGGACTCTTTACGCAACTGTGCCCAGACTCGATTTGGATGCTGAAACGTTCGAACTCTATATCAATCTGGCAAACTAGCACAACTAGCAAGTGAACGTAATCGTTAAAAATTGGATCTTATTGACTTAAAGTACGATGTAACAGCGTGGGTGAAAAGAAGGCGGCTAATGGTTGTTTACTATTGTACTCTTGAATTGAGAAAAATGCCCTTCATATTAGAGGAGTTAGAGTTTTTTAAGAAAACAGAGTTGAAAAAAACTTTACCTAACAGGAAAGCGGTTTCTAAAGAGTCATGATTATTTGACTCCACGCTAAGGCTAGAAACATCATTATTGTTCAATGTTATACCCTAACAGAATATAGTGACCTGGAAGAGAAAAATTAATTCTACAGCCAATTAGATCTAACACTTCTCTAAACGAATCGTAACGACATTATTCTTTCCATTGGCCACTATAACGCGCATGTCGGCTCAGATAATGCAAACTACGAACATATAATGGGCAAGTATGCGACTTGATGTAGAATATCGAATAACCAACTGCTACTGGAAATGTGCAATAATCACAGCTCGTTGGTTCCCTATTTTTTCACAAGTTCTGTCATAAGATCTCGTGGATATCGCCATAGGTTTATACTGCTATTAAAATCTTCAATAACCCAAAATTCACAGACACATATATGTTAACAGACTAATCAACAAATCAATGCCTGATATAGCTATATTAATGAAAGGACATCTTTCTTAAATTAAGGATATATCGTCGTTCAAAACTGTAAAAGCAGCGGGCATAAATGAAATCTGCACTGATCTACTAATAGTAGATTCACAAAGGTTTGGGACTATTTTACTACCAAACTGTCAGAACATCTGGAAAGAGTAAAATATACCAACTGAATGGAAGGACGCAGTCTTTGTTAGAATACCTAAGTAGGGTGACAAAGGGAAATGCTCCAATTGGCGCGGATAATCAATTCTTCCGGCCGTAACTAAAATTTTAAACAATCCTTAACCGTGTCGCAGATGCCATAGATACTTCTTCAGAAAACTATAAAGCTGGTTTCAGACACGGTCACTCGTGCATCGATCACGATAACACGATGAGAATCCTGATCGAACAATCTGCGGAACTTAGAATCACCCTATACATGGCATTTATTGATTACGAGAAAGCTTTCGACGCCCTACGAAGGGAAGTAATATGGACAAGGTATATAGTGGAAAGTGTATAGCGGTAAGCTATCCTTTCTGAGCAGAACAGAGTTGAGGTTGCTGGTGGGATATTTAACGGGTCACCAGGGCTTTTGAAAATCATATCCTACATAAATTTCAATATGGCTTTCAAAACAGCACGTCACATATTGATGTTCTATACAATTCCAATCTCACATATGTGAAAGTAATCGACTGTTGCAATTAGTTTCGATATAGAAAAATCAATCGGTAAAGTCAGAGAAGAGACCAATTATAAAGTATTTTCAACTCCACTTACCTAAAATTTTATCAGTTCATGATTGGCAGATCCTTTCAGTTAGTGCTGGTCCCAGGCTCTCTGGGATCTTTTTTGTAATTTGTAGTGGTTCCTCTAGATTCTGTTATGGGTGGCATACCGTTTATAACGTCGGCATAAATTGCTGATTATAATCAGCTTATTTGATCTTACCTTGACCAGGAATCAGGTCGTATTAAGTGAAGTGTTTAAGAAAGTTTGAACGGATACGACTTTTTGACTGAACAAACTATAGACGCTGATCAATATCTTTTGATGCTTTCGCAATGGAATCTAACTTCTAGCCACAATCTCCGCTCTGATTTGCTTAACTACTCGTTTGATATATTACAAAATTCTCTTATCATATAGCTGTACAATCTCAAATTTAGAAATCGCCCTCTTAGAGTATACTTCGAAGCGAGACTTCCATTCATTTCCTTTGATTAAACCATTTTTATCTATTAACATACATGTAATAGCATGCTTACTCTCAGGCTTCAGAGAATTTACTTATTGATTGTAAAGCCTCTCTAATTTTTAATTCCATAATTTGTGGAATGGGACTTGAACCATTGGTCCTTTAAGATTGGTGGATGATATCAATCACTACATTATTTCTAACAGGTGGTTCGCACACTGTGGTTTTTGACGATTCTACTATCTGTTTAAAAGGAAAGTCACTCAATATACTACTGATACATAAAGATTATTGTTGATAAAAATGTGAAGAATTTTCGGATATCATTTCAGATAATATTTTTGTGAGAAAAACGATCGGATATTTGATATCTCTCTAAACTAAAGCATATTTGATTGTATTTTAGTTAGGACAAGTTATCTCTTTCTCTAGTTCTAGTTCTTCACATTTGATATCATTTCCTGTGGTATTTTTGCCAACTGGTGTCATTTGTTTTCCATAGTTTATCATTGCTCCTATGTGATTGGCTACATTTATTTTTTTTTCAAATCACCATGTTGAAGTTGTGGGCGAGAGGGTAGTAACTTCATACTCGTTTGATATATATAAAATTTGAGAGAATTTATTTTGTATGTAATATATATCATAAACGGAAGATAGTAGCTTGAAATTTTAATTGTTTCCATTTATCGCCTCAAATTTTTAGTAAGGCACAGTTTAAGCTATGAATTGCCAAAGCCAAAGCCCGCATATTGCAATTGAGATACAAATTCACGTATAAAACAAAGAAGATAAAAGCTGAAAATTTAAACTGTGGCATTAAACTGACAATAAAAATTAGTCGCGTGTTTGCCGCAAGTTGAGTCCAAGGCAGTGAAACCTCAAAGCTAAGATGAGACCACCACAAAAACTACACGAACAATGGCCACAAGTAGTAATAATGCCAAAATGCGATGATGATCATCGTAATTACATTATGGCAATGAGCTTGACAAAAACTATCTTACAACAGCAGATACTCATACAACAATGACACAATTCAGAATTGACAATAACTTTATGCTTCCTTTAGCGTATCATGTTTAGAAGTTTTTGAACTCACTTTTGTTAGCTTCGGAAGAATATACATTTCACCTGTTGGTGAAGGTAGAATAACGTCTTTCCTTAGCAATTCTTATAAATTGTTGTTGTGTTAAGTTGAGCTCAGTTTACTAACAATTATAGTTTGATCTCGTGTGATGATCAAACTAAGTTGATCAAACTAAGTTCTTTTTATTAATCATTGGAGCGTGAATCCTCCCAAGAATCGTCAGTATGAACCAGATCCGTAACTAGACTGCTATTTTGGTAATGGAAGAGGTCTTTTCTTCCATTTCTTTCTTATCCATCTTAATATCTCCAAAATAAGTTGATGTAGTTCGTTTAGGCTCACTCATTGCATAAAAATGGTCATAATCGTCACTGTTGTTACCTTGTTGCACTTGACCGGCAACTCTGACGCTGCTGTGACTGACTTCTGCCGTTGGCTGCCCATGCGCATTTTTAATTACAATTTGCAAATTTTTAAAAATTAAAAAGTACTGCAAAGATACACGCAACTTCTAGAAAGCCTTTTTTACCAATTCTTGTTTTCTGTATTTAGTCAAGGTAATGCTAAGCGAAAGTATATACGAGTATCTTACATCTAGTCACTTTGTTTCGAAAAGAAACTTTAGAATAAAACATTGGCGACAACTTTTTCTTTATGGTTTTTGAGTGAAAACGGAAGTACAGTGTACACCGGAAACTATTGCAGGCAGATGCATGCATATGATATTCAATTTATTTTTTTTTTGCTAACAAACAAACACCAAAACAACATCGAAAACAAAAAACCAAATTCAAAAAATAAAAAGCAATAAACAATGAAAAAAGCAGAATGAAAAAATGAAGAAGCAAGTGCAAAATTATACTTTTTATAGCAGAGAAATCCTTTAGCCCGGAGCAGATAAACACAGTTTGCTTGGCTGGTTCGGGATATCGAACTTATCCTTCGTTATTAAATATTAAGGAAAAAGTACTTGAAAAAGTTTAATAAGTAGTAAAAGGTTGGTGTTAGAGTTGCAGCGATTAGTGCTACGGAACTGCTTACAACAACAGCAACAATATAATTTGGAGTATAAAACAACAGCTATAAGATATTCTTACCGTAAGAATAAATTTGTATCTAAAATCCTTCGTCTTTTTTTTGAAGATTTTAAGGAACATATGCAATTTTCCAGAAAGTTACCTGCTTGTTGTCTTGGGTTATTGAATCTAAATTTGACTTGAGGCAATTTTAAC